TGTACAGGTGAGCACATGTTTAATTCAGTTTTCACCTTTTACGTAATTTGTAACAGCGTAATAGCTGCACTGTTTTAGTCTTCTGTCGGTGCAGCAGTTGTTCCTTACACTCACGCAATCGCTTCATATCGAGTTTTTCTGTTCTCAACAGAGCCTCACTGCCCTGCAGCATGTTGCTTAGTGATCACAGACTATCCAACTAGATTGATGGCAGTGGCACAGCTTAACGTGTTACTTGAGTTACGGATTATTTATCGTATTATTTCTTTCTTTTAACAGTTGCGAATTTCATGGAGATTTGAAAGTTGCACAATCAGGATGTGATGCTGACATGAGTTGCGTCTAGTTCAAATATCATTCGACGAAATGGCGCGTGCTTCAGAAGCAAGTGTGCTAGCACTGTGCTACTCATGAATTACTCCTCGTTCCAACTAGTGTTGTTGAGTCGGTAGGGCATCAGACTCGCAGTGGAACGAGTTTCAGTTTGTTGCGGGTTTCAGTTTCGATCGATCACTCGTCTTTTGTTTCTGTGTAGATAAATGAGAGCCACAATGTGGAAAGGAAGCAGTTGACTAATCGCTGTACGCTCCATGAAAGGATGTTACGATTACTGCCCATGATGGAAGTATGTTGGAGAACTACTTCCAAGCGGTTACAGAAGCGGTTATCATTTGCTGTTCAGATGAAATGGTTTCGCCCTGTTTTCTGGCTTTAACAAAGATGAAGGTTCCAGTTTTTCAGGGTTTGCAGCCGGAACTTTCTCCTTTTAAAATTTGCGATGCGTGAATATCTGACTCTGTTGTCTTATTAACCGACTTTACCATTTCAGTCGGGTTACCGTAGCGGCTGATAAAAATATACTCTTGTGTATTTATTTGATCATATCAAATGATCATGTACTTGGAGTTTTGCTGCCTTTTTTCAGTGTGCACGCAAGGCTTGACTTTGAATGGTGATATTTTATGGTCGCGAAATCCTTTCGCTTTTCTAAAGAAACAACATGTAACTTTATTGTTTTTAGACTGAGCAAATGATTAATTTCAGTATGTTATCAGATGTAACGATTGGCTGCTACTCTTATTGCGACGGTTTTATTACACTACTTTAATGTACATTGGTTTACTTATTTCAGCGCTCTTCAAAAAGCATCTCGTAAAACACTGTTTTTGCACTCTGCAGAAAATCATTAGTACACCTGACCGTGGCAAGCACTTCAGCATCCACGTCGAGTATGGTATTTTGTTCGTTTTTTCTCATTTTCATATTTGAAGTTTTTCCAGCTTGGACGTCCTTTGCGCAGAAAATTCCACTGTGTCACAGTTCGTGTTTCACTCACCAGATGAATTGAAAAATTTTTTTACGAAAGCCCTCATTCAGCTTCTTGGCTCGGCATGTTCTATAGATCTGGTATTTTTTGAACTTCCATCAAAGTGCTCAGTTGATTATCGAGGTTTTAATTTTCATTAATGGCCTTAAATTTCTGACTGTTCAGCTGCTTCTTAGTTTAGACCATAACGGTTTATTGACGTAATATCATGTAACAGGTCGTCTAGGCAAACCGTTTTCAGTTTGTCTTACGGACCGTATTTATGCCTTCCAGTCGGACTGTTTGTTTCTCTGCGATACTGGCGTTATCAGATGTCTTTAATTTGTCCAGGGGCTGAAAAAACGATTTCCAGTCCTTGCAGTGCATTGGGTTTAGTGACTGCTGGCGCGAAACGGCCCATCTAAAATGCGCGAAAATTTC